TCCCTGTCATTCAGTTCTTCTGTCTCTCTAGTCCTCCCTGTCATTCAGTTCTTCTGTCTCTCTAGTCCTCCCTGTCATTCAGTTCTTCTGTCTCTCTAGTCCTCCCTGTCATTCAGTTTCTTCTGTCTCTCTAGTCCTCCCTGTCATTCAGTTCTTCTGTCTCTCTAGTCCTCCCTGTCATTCAGTTCTTCTGTCTCTCTAGTCCTCCCTGTCATTCAGTTCTTCTGTCTCTCTAGTCCTCCCTGTCATTCAGTTCTTCTGTCTCTCTCTAGTCCTCTCTGTCATTCAGTTCTTCTGTCTCTCTCTAGTCCTCCCTGTCATTCAGTTCTTCTGTCTCTCTCTAGTCCTCCCTGTCATTCAGTTCTCTCTAGTCCTCTCTCTAGTCCTTCCTCTGTCATTCAGTTCTTCTGTCTCTCTCTAGTCCTCCCTGTCATTCAGTTCTTTCTTCTGTCTCTCTAGTCCTCCCTGTCATTCAGTTCTTCTGTCTCTCTAGTCCTCCCCTGTCAGTTCTTCTGAGTTCTCTGTCTCCCTGTCATTGTCTCTAGTCCTCCCTGTCTAGTCCTCCCTGTCATTCAGTTCTTCTGTCTCTCTCCCTGTGTCAGTTCTCCCTGTCATTCCCCTTCAGTTCTTCTGTCTCTCTAGTCCTCCCTGTCATTCAGTTCTTCTGTCTCTCTAGTCCTCCCTGTCATTCAGTTCTTCTGTCTCTCTAGTCCTCCCTGTCATTCAGTTCTTCTGTCTCTCTAGTCCTCCCTGTCATTGAGTTCTTCTATCTCTCCAGTCCTCTCTGTCATTCAGTTCTTCTGTCTCTCTAGCTCTCCCTGTCATTCAGTTCTTCTGTCTCTCTAGCTCTCCCTGTCATTCAGTTTCTGTATTTTGCACATTTTCTTCCTGTCCCCGCTTTAACTGCACTTCCGCTTGACCCGTCAACCTGTGACCCTCCTGACCCCTCAACCCGTGACCCCGAGCATCAACCACTGGGACGTTTCCGCTGTTTATCCACCGGCTGAAAATGGCACGTCCATGTTTGGATGCTATTGATGGGATGACATTTGTCCTGACCTTGGTTCCGTAGAAAATGACATCACGGGTGAAACAGAAACACAAATGACAACAACAAACACACGGTTCTCATGTAGACAAACACACGGCTCTCATGTAGACAAACACACGGTTCTAATGTAGACATTTACACGGTTCTAATGTAGACAAATACACGGTTCTCATGTAAACATTCACACGGTTCTACGATAGACAAACACACAGTTCTCATGTAGACAAACACACGGTTCTCATGTAGACAAACACACGGTTCTCATGTAGACATTCACACGATTCTAATTTAGACAAACACACGATTCTACGATAGACAAACACACGGTTTTAATGAAATCAAACACACAATTCTAATGTAGACAAACACACGGCTCTAATGTAGAAAAAGACACGGCTCTAAATAGACAAACAGTTCTAATGTAGACAAACAGAACTGATTGAGTAGACTAGTGCAGTGTCACAGTTTCATGACAGAGTGCACACACTCACTGGTACAGTCCTGTACTCCCTCCATCATACACTCACTGGTACAGTCCTGTACTACCACCATCACACACTCACTGGTCCAGTCCTGTACTACCACCATCACACACTCACTGGTACAGTCCTGTACTACCACCATCACACACTCACTGGTACAGTCCTGTACTACCACCATCACACACTAACTGGTACAGTACTGTACTACCACCATCACACACTCACTGGTACAGTCCTGTACTACCACCATCACACCCTCACTGGTACAGTCCCATACTCCCTCCATCACCCACTCACTGGTACAATCGTGTACTACCACAATCACACACTCACTGGTACAGTCCTGTACTCCCTCCATCACACACTCACTGGTACAGTCCTGTACTCCCTCCATCACACACTCACTGGTACAGTCCTGTACTACCATCATCACACACTCACTGGTACAGTCCTGTACTACCACCATCACACACTCACTGGTACAGTCCTGTACTACCACCATCACACACTCACTGGTACAGTCCTGTACTAGAACCATCACACACTCACTGGTACAGTCCTGTACTACCAGCATCACACACCCACTGGTACAGTGCTGTACTGCTACCATCACACACTCACTGGTACAGTCCTGTACTACCACCATCACACACTCACTGATACAGTCCTGTACTACCACCATCACACAGTCACTGGTACAGTCCTGTACTACCACCATCACACACTCACTGGTACAGTCCTGTACTACCACCATCACACACTCACTGGTACAGTCCTTTACTACCACCATCACACACTCACTGGTACAGTCCTGTACTACCAGCATCACACACTCACTGATACAGTCCTGTACTACCACCATCACACACTCACTGGTACAGTCCTGTACTCCCTCCATCACACACTCATTGGTACAATCCTGTACTACCATCATCACACACTCACTGGTACAGTCCTGTAAGGCTACCATCACACACTCACTGGTACAGTCCTGTACTACCACCATCACACACTCACTGGTAAAGTCCTGTACTACCACCATCACACACTCACTTGTACAGTCCTGTACTCCCTCCATCACACACTAACTGGTACAGTCCCGTACTCCATCCAACACACACTGACTGGTACAGTCCTGTACTCCCTCCATCACACACTCACTGGTACAGTCCTGTACTTCCACCATCACACACTCACTGGAACAGTCCTGTACTAGCACTATCACACACTCACTGGTACAGTCCTGTACTACCACCATTACACACTCACTGGTACAGTCCTGTACTACCACCATCACACAGTCACTGGTACAGTCCTGTACTCCCTTCTTCACAAACTCACTGGTATAGTCTGTACTGCCTCCATCACACACTCACTGGTACAGTCCTGTAATACCACCATCACACACTCACTGGTACAGTCCTGTACTACCACTATCACACACTCACTGTACAGTCCTGTACTACCACCATCACACACTCACTGGTACAGTCCTGTACTACCACTATCACACACTCACTGGTACAGTCCTGTACTCCCTCCATCACACACTCACTGGTACGGTCCTGTACTACCACCATCACACACCCACTGGTACAGTGCTGTACTGCTACCATCACACACTCACTGGTACAGTCCTGTACTTCCACCATCACACACTCACTGGTACAGTCCTGTACTACCACCATCACACAGTCACTGGTACAGTCCTGTACTACCACCATCACACACTCACTGGTACAGTCCTGTACTACCACCATCACACACTCACTGGTACAGTCCTTTACTACCACCATCACACACTCACTGGTACAGTCCTGTACTACCAGCATCACACACTCACTGATACAGTCCTGTACTACCACCATCACACACTCACTGGTACAGTCCTGTGCTCCCTCCATCACACACTCACTGGTACAATCCTGTACTACCATCATCACACACTCACTGGTACAGTCCTGTACTACCACCATCACACACTCACTGGTCCAGTCCTGTACTACCACCATCACACACTCACTGGTACAGTCCCGTACTACCACCATCACACACTCACTGGTACAGTCCTGTACTACCACCATCACACACTCACTGATACAGTCCTGTACTACCACCATCACACACTCACTGGTACAGTGCTGTACTGCTACCATCATACACTCACTGGTACAATCCTGTACTCCCTCCATCACACACTCACTGCTACAGTCTTGTACTCCCTCCATCACACACTCACTGGTATAGCCCTGTACTGCCTCCATCACACACTCACTGGTACAGTCCTGTACTACCACCATCACACACTCACTGGTACAGTCCTGTACTACCACCATCACACACTCACTGGTACAGTCCTGTACTACCACCATCACACAGTCACTGGTACAGTCCTGTAATACCACCATCACACACTCACTGGTACAGTCCTGTACTACCACCATCACACACTCCCTGGTACAGTCCTGTACTACCACCATCACACACTCACTGGTACAGTCCTGTACTACCACCATCACACACTCACTGGTACAGTCCTGTACTACCACCATCACACACTCACTGATACAGTCCTTTACTACCACCATCACACACTCACTGGTACAGTCCTGTACTACCACCATCACACACTCACTGGTACAGTCTTGTACTCCCTCCATCACACACTCACATTTAGTGTCATGTACTACCACCATTACACACTCACTGGTACAGTCTTGTACTCCCTCCATCACACACTCACTGGTACAATCCTGTACTACCACCATCACACACTCACTGGTACAGTGCTGTACTACCACCATCACACACTCACTTGTACAGTCCTGTACTCCCCCCATCACACACTCAATGGTACAGTCCTGTACTCCCTCCATAACACACTCACTGGTATAGCCCTGTACTGCCTCCATCACACACTCACTGGTACAGTCCTGTACTTCCACCATCACACACTCACTGGTACAGTCCTGTACTAGCACTATCACACACTCACTGGTACAGTCCTGTACTACCACCATTACACACTCACTGATACAGTCCTGTACTACCACCATCACACAGTCACTGGTACAGTCCTGTACTCCCTTCCTCACAAACTCACTGGTATAGTCTGTACTGCCTCCATCACACACTCACTGGTACAGTCCTGTAATACCACCATCACACACTCACTGGTACAGTCCTGTACTACCACTATCACACACTCACTGGTACAGTCCTGTACTACCACCATCACACTCACTGGTACAGTCCTGTACTACCACCATCACACACTCACTGGTACAGTCCTGTACTCCCTCCATCACACACTCCCTGGTATAGCCCTGTACTGCCTCCATCACACACTCACTGGTACAGTTCTGTACTACCACCATCACACACTCACTGATACAGTCCTTTACTACCACCATCACACACTCACTGGTACAGTCCTGTACTACACCATCACACACTCACTGGTACAG